GCTGCTGGTTTTATGGTCTCCAGATACAAGGTCTGTTCATCTTCTAGGTCTCCATTATGTCTCAGTGTGTTTTTGTGGATCAAGCTGGTGATTTTGCTTTTGTGGAAGCCGTTGGCTATCAGTACTTTAGTACCCTGACTAGAAGATGAACAGACCTTGTATCTGGAGACCATAAAACCAGCAGCTCTAAATCGTCCAAGTGAACAACAAAATATTTAGAGTGAAAAATAAAACTACTATTCTACAGATGTTCCATTTTTTTTAAAGTTCTCACTAATTTTTAAATTCTGGGTTGGAAGTTGTGACATACTATCAACTCTCCCAGGTAAGCCAAGTAAGAAACTCAACAAAATGAACTAAGTCTACTTTATTGTAAGGCTACAGTAACAGAATCTTGAAAGACTGAAGATACAAACTTCCCACTGCCACTTTTAACCATCTAATCTATTAGGGGAGATCTTTCCTAGGCTGTTCTCTGTTAAGCCACTGGGGCTCTTGGCTCTTATCTGATTTTTTCCTGGGCAGCATCTCTTCCCCTTATCCCCCCAAAGTCGTTCAACGTTCTATTACACATGTTTCTTCTCCCTGTGTTTATTTAAAGCAAAAACAACAACAACCCACTTCCTCCCATGTGAGACATTAAAAAAAATCAGGAATCAGAAAGGATTCAATATATTCATGAACAGGTAATTTACTTCTTCAGATAGATATATTTTTCCTGATTGCATGTTAAAGAAAAATATTTTTTCAAATCACAAAATGCCAGTGGGTCCTACGCAATAGCAATAGCACTTAGACTTATATACCGCTTTATAGTGCTTTACAGCCCTCTCAAAGTGATTTACAGAGTCAGCCTCTTGCCCACAAAAGTCTGGGTCCTCATTTTACCCACCTCGGAAGGATGGAAGGCTGAGTCAACCTTGAGCCTGGTGGGATTTGATCTGCTAAATTGCAGTAGGAACAGCTTGCAGTACTGCACTTAGAACACTGCGCTACCGAGGCTCCTCAGTGTTTACTCACTAATATTCCTCAAATTGGGTTCTGCTTCTGTCAAAAGCATATATGATCACTAAGAAGAATTCAGAGTAAGAAATGAAAGAATCACTGTTTTGCACTGCCACTACGTGCCTTGTCCAAAAGATCAGTCTTTGTGATAAACCATATGTGAGCAGCGGCATATTATCTCTGGTAATATCACACTACTAACCAGAGCATACAAAACATTTGCTAGACCAATACTCGAATACAGTTCATCAGTCTGGAACCCACATTACGTATCTGATATTAGCACAATTGAGAAAGTCCAGAAATATTTCACAAGAAGAGTTCTCCACTCTTCTACTCGTTGTAGAATACCTTATGCCACCAGACTTGAAATTCTAGAACTAGAAAACCTTGAATTACGCCGTCTTCGGTCTGACTTAAGCATGGTATACAAAATCATACATTGCAATGTCCTACCTGTCAATGAATACTTCAGCTTCAACCATAACAACACAAGAGCACACAATAGATACAAACTCAAAGTAAACCGCACCAAACTTGATTGCAGGAAATACGACTTCAGCAATAGAGTGGTCAATGTCTGGAATACTCTACCCGACTCTGTAGTTTCTTCCCCAAACCCCAAAAACTTTAACCTTAGACTGTCTACTATTGACCTCACCCCTTTCCTAAGAGGTCTGTAGGGGGCGTGCATAAGCGCACCAACGTGCCTACCGTCCCTGTCCTATTGTTTCTCCTATTCTTTTATTTTTCTTGTATGTAACCATTTCATGTATTCACAACTATGTATACATTTATACTTATTATCTTGTAAACAATTGGCAAATCAAATAAATAAATAAATAAAATAAATAAATAAACTAAGGAGAAATTATTGTGAGTGTTGCACTGCTGGTAGTTTTCAAGAAAAGATTAAATAGCTCTTTGTCTGGGGTGATGTAAGTTTTCCTACCTTAGATAGAAAGTTAGGTTAGAAAGCCTCCAAGGTCCCTTCCAATTCTATGAATCTATAATTTTAGCTGTAACATCCCTGTTTCTTCAGAGACATCTTTAGTTTATAATGTCCTCACTGGAAGTCAGCAAAAGTCAATTTTCTCACCCTTAATTTTTATTCTTTAATTTCAAAATGTTTTTTCAAACTAATTTTAATTTACATGAATTGGTAGATCATCAATCTCAATGGAATTAGCTGCCAGGAACTTTTTTCTTTCAGTTAACTGACTGACAATTTAGAACTGAGAAGAAAACCAAAATTTTAAACACAAAGTACAACAATGTTACACACATTTTATGTCTATGTACACGCATAAAACAAAGTGGAAACAGAAGAAAATATATTTTCAAAATTGCATTCAAATTGGTGAAATCACAAGTGATAATTTAATTATCCTTTTTATATATTTTTTAAATTAAATAAACTAGTAATTCATGTTGTAATTATATAATGTGCCTTGAATCTTTCAACTACATAAAGTTCATATATTGGAAATTGTGGAAGAACCAAGAATGAACGTAATTCTCTTTTCCCATAAATAAGGCACAATTCACAATTTAGTATTGTATTGTTTAAAAAAGTTTCTATAGCTTAAGGGTTACATCATATGAGTTACAGTACCAAGACTGCAAATTCATAGAAATAGTCTTATCAAAACTAGATATAATCTACTATTATAGATAATATAGAAATAAATGAAAGATTGTTAAATTAGAAGTATAATATTAAATTTAAGAAGATGGCCCTGGAAAGCTCTGTGGTGTTAAAACAGTGAAACAGCTTGCCTTCTGAAGTCATGGCTGCTCAATCACGTGACATTTTCAAGAAAATATCCCACATATACTGGGTAATCTGAAAAATGGGGGCATAGAAATAAGGTTTGGTGGATGAATAATGCAAATACGGTAAGTTCCTGTGGCATTGCTCTCATGAAAAATGTACTTCAAATACAAGTAAAAAATGAGAATCAACAAATTCAGAATTTTATAAAATTGGGAGTCTAATTACATACATGGATTCTGCTCATCAATACATGAGACAGATCTTGTAATTAACTAAAGGTGAAACTTATTTTGTTTAAACATGTCAACCTTTATCACTAGTGACTACATGGATATAAACCACACTCTTTTTTGGCAGCAATAGGAAATGGTTTACTGCTGACTTCTCCCATGATATTTTTCAATTGCCCAGTCTAATTTACATGGTACTCTCTGTTAAATCTTCTCTTCAAGTCCAGGTAGAAAGTAAATCTCAATGCATACAGTAACTTTAAATATATAATTTAGTTTTAAGCACAGTAGTTTTAAACACGTTCCAAATGCTCCTACATATATTTCCAAGTAAATTACTACAAAACTAAGCTAAGGGTAGATTCATCAAGCTGTTAAATACTCCAGAAATATTAGTTCAAATATGTTCTTTGACACTTGGCAGATCACCATTTTTCCTGGGCAACCCTCAAATTTCTACATATGAAACCATGAAGAAGAAGAAAAATCCTGAAAGACTTACAAGTACAAAATAAGATATAATCTATGATGAGCAGCTCAGGAAAGCTAGATTGTGAATTTATCCCCACTTTGACAGGTAGATGAAGAGTTCTACTGCAACAATAAAAAACATCACTCATTAAATCCCTGTCAAAAATAATCATACAATGTTTCTTGGCGTATTAGACGCCCTTGAGCCTGCCTTTTTTTACTGTGATGAACTTATTTAAAAGGAGACTGCTACAGGGGAATAATGCAAATAAACTCACCTCCATTAAGTTTCACTCTGCCCAAGAGGATCTGTCGCCAAGGGGCGACTTTGTCGCTGCTATTCCGCCAAGTAGTGTTTCCGGGAGGTGGGCAAAGAAAATAAGAACGGGCCCACAAATTATTCCAGAATCAGCTTTCTCCAAAATTTGTAAACGCCAGGGCTAAACATAACTTCCGCTCACATGTCGTGTCTCGCTCTCTCAAATGACATGGGGACATGGGAGAGCAACGACTGAGAGAGAGAGGAAGGGAGAGAGAGAGATGGAAGATGACTGATCACCTCCCATTAACTAGGATCGCCTCAGAAAGGGTGCTGCACACCTACACTGACTCCTTCGGTAGCATCCGAACATCACTGTCCCGCATAAGGCATCACTGTCCCGCCCAGGCCTCACCGTTAACTTTTCTTCAGCGGCACTTCTCCTTAACTGGCAGCCACTTGCTTCTCGACCAGAGGGCGGGAGAGACGTTGACGATCCCACCTAACCAGCACGTTTGTCAGCTCCGACAGCTCATCGCCTTGAGACCAAACTCGCCATTTTCAGTCACTTAGCCCAGCCTGCAACGCCTCCTTGCCGCTTGAGAGAGAATATCCTACTCCCGCCCACAATGACCGGATGTGTTGGTCACGTGATCCAGTTCGAGCGGCTGTCTTTGAAGAATATGAACGTTGGGAGCCGCGGTAGATTCGTGAGGGCGTATCACAAGGGAGCGTTATCTTAATCCTATCCGATTCTACATTATCCTAATATATAGACTATCTTAAAACTACACCAAATGGAACTGCATAATAGAAGAAAATTATTATTTTTTTCTCCACTATTGAAGATTACACTATTCGAATCATTTTGAAGACGGTTTTTTAATTACGTGGGCACGTACAGGATTCCAAAGCTAGATTTATTGTATGAAATTCGAAACAGCCAAATTCTTCTGTTGCTTTGTTCCATTCGGCAGGAACAAAATAAGAATATCCCGAAATGCCTAGGATACCAGCGGCGGAAGCCAAGGGCGGGTTTACGTGGCATCGCTCGAGTCACTCAAGAGAGGAACAAAGCCAGGGCTTTCTAGCGATAATCGGATTGGTGTATAAAAGAAAAGGGCATGGCCAGCAAATACAGTATATAAATAGCTATTAAACCTATCCGCCCCTCTTCCCGCGTACACTTGGAGTGCCTGTTTTTTTGTCCAGTTGTGCGGAGTTCAATCTTCATGAGGTTGATTTTAGAGACCGATTATTTCATGCAACAAATGCTACATTGGAATGGAAGAATCGGAAGAGATTTTTATGCTTTCCTCCCTACTCTATGCAGGACTAGAATGCAAATTAAAATACTGCATGAGACAGGAAAAGCTCAAAGAATACGGGAAAGGTCCAGAAGAAGATGAGATAACATCAAAGACACATTAGAGCAGCATTAAATAACAATTGGTTGAAGCTACCAGAAAAGCAAGAATCAGAACTTTGTATCTTCATTGACATCCAAAGGGTAAAGTGGAAGTAAAGAAGATGTCGGACAGGTGGCTCTTGTGCACTGATGATGCTACTTAGTTTGGATAACAAAATGTCTGCAAGAAAAGAATCAATCTCAGGGAGCACCAAGAACTCCTAATTTAAACCCTGAGCTACAAATATTCTGCTTTATCAGATAACTCTGCCTGTGGACCCCTAATGAAAAAAATCCCTCAAATATCCTGCTTTTTTCAGATTTTTCTGCAGTCGTGTATGCATGTTTTGACACTTGAAGATCTGAAAAAGATTCCTTCTTTTCATCCAAGTAATAAATTATTGAAAACAGTTTATTTTTTCAATATGATAAGGAAGAATGATGAATACTCAGTACTATTTTCTTATGGTACTGTCTGGTTTGGTTTTGCAACCCAACAAGACAGACACATACTTCAGAGAGTAATTAGGACTGCAGAAAAATATAATTACTACCAACCTGCCTTCCATTGAGGACCTGCATACTGCAGGAGTCAAAAAGAGGGCTGTGAAAATATTATTTCAACTCCTACCCTCAAAATGATGCTATAGAGCACTGCACAACAGAACAACTAGACACAAGAACAGTTTTTTCCCCGAACACCATCACTCTGCTAAACAAATTCTCACAACACTGTCCAACTATTTACTATCACTATTAAATTTCTCATCACTCCTATCACCCATCCCCTCCCGCTTGACTATAACTTTGTTGCTTGTATCCTTAGGATTTATATTGACTGTTTTGTAGTATGAGTTGACTGCCTATTTATACCCTATGATTATATTAAGTGTTGTACTTTATGATTTTTATGTACACTGAGAGCATATGCACCAAGACAAATTCCTTGTGTGTCTAATCACACTTGGCCAATAAAGAATTCATTCATTCATTCATTCACTCATTAAGATCAGTTGGTTTCTCCCAGTAAGGCAATAAGTTATAAATCTGCCTAAGATAAACTTGTGTTCACTCTGCAGAATCACTAGCCTCTATGCAGAGGTGATACTCAGCAGGTTCTGATCAGTTTTGGAGAACCAGTAACAGAAATTTTGAGTAGTTCAGAGAACTGGCAAATGCCACCTCTGACTGGCCCCGGTCCCATCTGTTCTCTGCCTCCCAAGTCCCAGCTGACCTGCTGGGTTTCCTTTTTGTTGCCCTGCACAGGAGAACGGAGCTGGAAAGTAGGTTAGTATGGGGAGGGAATGGGATTTTGCAGTAACCTTCCCCTAGGAGTGGGGAGGGAATGGAGATTTTACAGTATCTTTCCCCTGCCACGCCCACCAACCCATGCCCACCAAGCCACTCCAAGCCCAACAAGCCACGCTCATAGAACCAGTAGTAAAAAAAAATTGAACCCACCACTGCCTCCACTTACTATTATTTATTGTTATATAATCTTTTGTTTATTATATAATGAGTACCAAGATGGGCTGTAAGCTTATTTAATTTATCACCATTTTTAGGCTCACTTTGCCAGCATGTGAGTCATTTGAAATCTTGGCAAGTCTGAGGGTCAACTGATGATTAAAAGAGGGTTGTTTACCCAACTATTAAAGCTGCTAGATGTATTTGGTTATTAATAGAAAAGTAATTGAATTTTGACTTGGAATTTTGAGATAATGCTAGCACTTTCTTAGTAATTCTAGATTGAAAATAGAGATAATTTTAATTGGAATTCTTGGACAAGAAATAGCTTCAACCAATTGATTAATAATACCAATTTTATATATTTTGATACATTACATTTTGAATATAACTTACATGAATCATCTGTTTGGCAGTATTACAATTAAAGCATATATCATTAAATAGCACGGATCAAATGTTTTAGCAGCTATTTGATCTTTAAGAAATGCTGTATTTGAAGTAAAAATTACAATCTAATTTTACATAAAACTAAAAAAGGTTAAGGTTAAATTAAGGAAGGTTAAAATTGATAATATATAATTGGAGTAAGGAATTGGAATATCCAGTTTTGAATAGCAAAAATAAAAACACATTTTAAGAAATATAAATTATTCTTATGATCTAAAAATGAAATTAATTCATCAAAAAATCATGGAATTTCCAAGGAATGTTGGATATTGGATTATTTACGCTAACATTGATTTGAATTATTTGATTACATCTGTTAACGGTTCTTTAAATGATGTTAATGCAACTCCGGAGAAAAATACCTAGTAAAATATAAATGTGATTCTGACTTATATTTAAAAATATGAAACCTGACATTTTATGGAGAACTCTGGCTTTAATGAAACTGTGATTCAGCAAAGATAATTATTTTACATATTTGGAAAAATGATTACATTTCTGAGTAATTTTTATTTTATTGAAATTTTATTTTTTGAAATGTCTATTTTGTAAAAATGGGAAGACAGCACAATGTATGATCTAATTTTAATATTTTACAAGATTGAGACATTTTTATACTATTATATGGAACTTTTTTCTTCAGTTTTCATTCATTTTAATCAAGAGCATATAGAACTTTCTTTTGTGATTACATTGATCATGGCTGCATTTTTATTTTTATTACTATATTTAGGTTTGATTATTATTTGTATTCTATTATAAATTACCAAATTAAGAAGAAGGAAATTTGGTGAAAAAGTTTGATGATTATTAGATGGCAGCAGAGATAATCTTGTTGCTTCTAATGCTATCTGGATTTTGTGACTCAGATTTGTAAATGCAGGTAGTCCTCAACTTACAACCACAGTTGAGCCCAAAATTTATGATGCTAAGTGAAACATATGTTAAGTGAGTTTTGTCTCATTTTACCTTTCTTGCTACAATTGTTAAGTGGATCATCACAGTTGTTAAGTTAGAGACATGGTTGTTAAGTGAATCTGGCTTCCCCATTGACTTTTCTTATCAGAAGGTTGTAAAAGCTGATCACATGACCCCAGCACATTGCAACCGTAATAAATATAAATACAAGTCAGTTGCCAAGTGTCTGAATTTTCATCATGTGACTGTGGAGATGCTGCAAAAGTCGTAACTGTGAAAAATGGCCATAAGTTGCTTTTTTCGGTGTCATAACTTTCAACAGTCACTAAAGAAACTGCTGTAAGTTAAGGACTATCTGTATAGAAGCTATCTCTGACTAAATCAGTGTTTAGTACATGCAATCACATCTGTGATAAAACCAGTGTTTCTGGAATAATAAGTTCATGAAATATATGCTACTTAACAGTCTGCTTCATAAAATGACAAAATTGCTTAACTAAATAAGCATTTGCTATATGAAATCACAGGTTGCTATCACTGAACAGCTATTTGCTGTGTGAAATACCGCCTGTCATTTAAACAGTGCTTACTGTATTAAGACATCAAACTAAGGTCTGATATATGAAATTGAAAGTCTGCTATTTACATTTAAATCACAGGTCTTGGTATAAAATAGGAAAGACCATTCTGCTACAAAAAACTACATTAGTGTTTAATGCTTGAAATCACAGAACTCTTTAAGAGCTTTGCCGCTCGTCTTTACTTGCGCTTATTTCCGGCATAGCTAGACTGGAAAAAGTTTAGAGCCGCAACCCCAGCTAATGCTTAGTGGCCTCGCCCCCTTTCCCGTATGCACCAATCGGGAAACTAAAGAGATGAGGCGCCTCTTCACGAAATTACCTCTGAGAAGCACCGCCTAGTTTTCGCCTGAGTGACGTGATCGAAAGCTCCGTTTGGTTTCCGTCGCTCCTCTCTTGGGCTTTTCTGGGGGAGATGGTGTTTTGTTTTTTTTCCGGCGAAGAAGGAAGTTGAAAACCAGCTGTGCTCCGGAAAACACACATTTATGGTAACCCATGTTTTTACGCGATTTATATAACGTAGATAAATTTAGTGATGTTCAGTGTTTAGCTTTTGTATATATACATGGCGTATGCTGCTTTTGCCCCTTGTGGATAATTTAGTTCTAACTATGGCGTGCTATAAGGGGGTAACTCCATTTTCTATCGAAAGTTTCAGAAATAGTAGAGAAATAGAATGGACATGTGGTGAGCATCCTCTTCTGATGGATAGAGCCAAACAGCCTCTTCTGATGTAAAGACCTGGCGCGAGTGAAATAAGTCAGACACAGCGTCGAGCCTGCCGGATGGTCTATAATTT